TATGTCTACTGAAGATATAGACATGGAAAGATAGCATGTCAACAAAAAGGCAAATGGCCCCCGGCAATTATGCGCTCGAGCCAGGCCAAGGATTAGCAATTGTTAATTAGACCGCGAACGTCAGGATGTCGAGGAAGTTTTAAGTGTTCCCGTCAAGTCTCTTGGCTGACAAAGATTATTACAAACTTTGAACTACATAGGATAATCGCTGTGCTTATCGCAGCGCCATACACACGTCACCCTTTCTGACGGGAAACTTTGGACTAACATACGCTATTGAGGAGCATAACTTCCGGAACTTCCTGGCCTGCATTGGTATTTGGAAGTGTAATAGTATGATCCTTTCAGTCTTTGGATTATGTTAGGCTCACGTAAGTGTATACAGGGTGTCCAATAAGTGCCACGACAAACTTAAGGAAAAGGTAGGCTTTAGGCCCGTATCGTCAGTCGTCCCTACAATTGTAGGGCGCCTTTATGGCCTCCTTGATTTTCATAGTTTTCTACTTCTCCGTGTCAGAACTCTATTTTGAGGTTATGTCACAATAATCTATTTGCATCAAATAGTGCTTGCTTTTGAGTTATATCATGTTTTATCTGCCTGAAATTTCCTACAATTTAAAAAGAAAACATATCTTCACAATAGGAGAGCGCTGACGCTGACACGGGACAAGTGTAATCTAGAAATTTTTGAAGGGGAGAAAGGAGTATGACAATCAAGGAGGTCATAAACGCGCCCTACAATTGTAGGGACGACTGGCGATACGGGCCTAAGACTGACCTCCCAAACAACAAAAACTTACCTATACCAAAGTGTCACCGTTTTTGAGATATTGAACTTTTTCTTAAATTTAAAAAAAACGAACCTTTTCATCTGTGCTCTTTAGCTGCATGTACAAATAAGGTTATACTTTGTTCATTTTTTCTATAAAATAGTTCTAGATAGTTGCTACAAATGCAGATGGTATTCCATAACGTTTTAGAATCGGATTTACTTTTTTGTAGTATCTCCGTATAATATTTTTGTTTTGTAGCAGTTATTAAATTGGAAAGTTTATTTTTGCAGTTTAAGTAATCTTGTTTTGCTTCTTCCGTAAGATTTGCCTGATATAATCTGTACTTTTCATTTTTTTATTTATTGATGTGATTAGCCCAGTAGTTACTCAGTTGTTTCTAGGAATTTTGTTGTGTTTTATTTAAACATTGAGATATATTATTTAATACTGTTGGTGAGATGTTTAGCTGCTTCATGTACATCACTTGACCAATATGTCATTCCACGACTTAGTATCGAGATCTACTTTCAGCTTTACGTAATTTATATGTTCTTTGTACCTATTGTTATTTTTGTTAGGTTGGCTATTAACAAAAATTTCTCGATTAAGGGGTAGTATCAGTATGGTACCTTAATGATCGGTTATAGTTGATTTTACTAAAAAGGCAATGTATTTATCAATTTCTTCTAATTGAACTTTTAAGATAAATGTGGTCAGTGCAAGTATTGGATTCTTTAAGGACTCTAGTCGGAGCATTTACAAGCGAAATAAAATTAATTTCAGAGAGCATATTCAGGTACTCATGTACAGATAAGCTATACATCGGCTTTATTTTAACGGTATTGTCTGCAATATGCAGATACATAGATCTGTCAGAATTTCTCATCAGAAGGGTTACAAAGTAAAAATGACAAAATGGGGGGTAATGTTGAAAGCGAGAATCAGATGACGCTAGTTAGATTGGAGATTATTTCTGAGGTTGAGGTAAAGCTTGATATATCTTCGGCCAATACGATGAAAATGGAGATGCGTAGACTCAGGTCTGCATTGACAGTACCGTTACCGTTCTGTGAACGGATAGATGTTCCCCACCATGGACGACTAGTGAATCAGCAGGAATAACGAGTTATTCTCAAGGCCACCAGCAATGGCATGCTTTGCAACATTGCATTAAGTAGACACTGGCTGAACTGACTCAGTCTGCTTTGCGGACAATATGAAGATGATTGCAGTTTGGAAACCCATCATTACAAGAGGTCGAAATTGGAAAAGACATGCAACCGAGAGTGGTCTAAAGAATAGAGAGTGTCATTCAATGCAGAAAGGTGCACGATAATTCGTATTGGGAAGATAAATCCTCAAAACTAGAGTGTAGAGCTGGTGGAAATTGGAAATGTTCAGACACTAGGAGTTATGATAGCATAACATTTAAAATGGATGACTAATATTACCAAGAAAATTAAAATAGTCAACTCACAGGTATATTTAATTGACAAGATAGAAGAGAGAAGATAGATAGAAGACATATACGAGGGTGGTACCAGAAGTACGCGGCCTGACCTCGAGATGGCGATAGTTGTTTTGAAAATATCATTGTATCAGAAAGTATGCAACCTATAAAGCATATGTGTCAAGATTGAAGACGCCACGTTGTTTAGTATTAGCTTGGCAGCCTTCAATACTAAACGTTTTCAGTGAATTTGTGATAATGGAGAGAATTGGTCATCGTTATGTGGTACAATACTTTTATTTCAAAGGCCTCAGCCCAACCAATATAAAATATGAGCTGGATCCTACTCTGGGTGAGTCTGCTCCTTCGTTTACAACAGTAAAATATTGGGTAGCAGACTTAAACGAGTATATATGAACTGCCAAGACGAGCATCGCAGTGGTCGACCAAATGAGGTGACGACTCCAGAAATTGTGAACAAAATTCACAAAGAGGTACTGAATGATCGTCGACTGAAAGTGCGCGAGCTAGCAGACATAGTAGGCATTTCAAAAAATGCAGTTCATCGCATATCATCTGAAAATTTGGGCATGAGAAAGCTGTGCGCAAGATGGGTGCCGCGATTGCTCACAATCTAGCAAAAACAGTGTCGTGAAGATGTTTCAATTGAGTGTTTAGCGAAGTTTCACAGCAACAAAGCAGAATTTTTGCATCGTTTCATAACCATGGATGAAACGTGGGTCCATCACTTCACACCCGCGACAAAACAACAATCAAAACAATGGACTCAAAAGGGAGAACCGGCTCCAAAGAAGGCGAAGACTGTTTCATCTGCAGGCAGGGTTATGGCGTCGGTTTTTTTTGGATGCGCGTGGGATAATTTTCATTGACTATCTTGAAAAAGGTAAAACTATCAACGGCGAGTATTATGTCAACTTATTGCAACGTTTAGGGCGATGAAATCAAGCAAAAACGGCCGCATTTGGTTAAGAAGAAAGTGTTGTTTCATCAAGACAATGCGCCAGCTCATAAATCCGTTATTGCAATGGCCAAAAGTTTGAATTGCTACCTCAGGCGGCAGTTAATGACCATTTTGAGGAGCAAGACAGTTCTTATAATATTATTCAACATCGCTGGGAAAAGTGTATAGAGCTCAAAGGAGATTATGTTGAAAACTAAATACATTTTTTTTACAAAAACATTGTGTTTTTCTTCGTTGGGTCGGGTACTGCTGGGACCACCGTCGTACACTCGACCAAAACTTGAGCTTGCATACAGCGTGTGGAGTACCCATTTTGTGAAATACGTCGAATTATTAAAATATCGCGGTTCGACATTTTTGTCATATGAACAACGTCTAAGGGCTATGAATTCGACAACACTCCCTGAACAAGGTTCACGAGGGGATCTGATTGAGATCATCATTGGCTGATACTCATGTACCTTTCAAACTTTCAATATAAGACAGAATATTCATATCAGAGGGAACACCAAAAAAATAGAAAAAGAGAGGCATCTAAGTTGATAAGGAGAAACTTCATTTCAAATCGTGTGTGTGGTACAGTCGTGGATCTATTTAGTGAAGAAACATTCAGTCTAACAATTGGCAATTTGTTCAACAATGAGTTGGATCAGAACCAGACGACAGGTGAGCACGTTTCTCTAACATACACTAGGCTACCGCAGTATAATTTTGTAGCAATGCATAATGCCCTAACTAGATGTTTGAAGAATACTGATAGCTACTGTAGCTTTAAAAGAATGGTTTTTAATTATCTAACTGATAATTATTTTTATTCTATTAACGAATTTCTAAATTGTGAGTGTTGATACGTTTCAAAA